CAGACTGTGCCTTCCCCTACTTGCTCCTCAGCACCAACAGGAGATCACAAGGGCCACGGTGCTAGCAGCAACCCAGCCCCTCATGCCCACCCGGACTGCAGTGCACTGTTTGGCAATCACCCCAAATCTGCTCCCAGCATGGGTACTGGACCCCACAGGATGGGTGATTTGGAGTTCCAGAGAGCCATGGTTCCATGATGGCTTAATGTAGACCAGTATGTGACTGTCCCATCTGGTCCTGAAGGAACCAGCAATGCAGTCATGTGCTGTGATGGGCTCCCGGGCTGCTCCATCAGACACTCACTACTTGGCCCCTCTGCCCTATGCCTCTGCAGCACAGTAGGAGATCACTTCACCATCACACAGGCAGGTGGGGGCAGACACTGGCAGACTAGAGTCAGCTGTCAGGTGAACAGCAATGCCTCACTAAACTGTGTGTTGAAGTTGAAAGCCTCTCTCACTGCCCAAAGCTTGAGCTAATGGGCTTTCTGTGAGGCACCAAGCAGAATTTGGGAGGCGGGGAGGGAGAAGGTGGACGGTACCCCTTTGCCTTAGCCCAGGATTTGCATGGACATGGAATTACTGTGTCAAATGCCTGCCTGCCGTCCCTCCCTAGGCAGTCAGACAGACATCCAACAGGACCAGGGTCTAAAAGCCCATGACCAGCTCCATTACCTTCATGATGATATAGAAAGCCAGGTACAGCAGCAGGTTACAGATGAAGATCCCCAGCAAGTAGGAGGCAAAGTCCCTTGGCCGGTACACCAGCCCAAAGATGGCACTGAGGGAAGAGAGGGAGGGACAGAATGAGATTAACCTCATAGGGAGGTGTCAGAAGGGGTCAGCCACACCCTGCCCCCATCAGACAACAGGGCCCCTCCCTGGCATCCTTTGGTCTCCCAGAGCTCGAAGCAGGCAGGGGAATATGGCTCAGCCCTGTAATACAGAGGGGCACACCAAGGCACAGAGTGGGGAAGCAACTCAGACACAGTACAAAGCCAGGAATCCTGGCTCTCACACCTCTGCTCTAATTTCCAGGGGCTAAAGCGTCTTGGGCCATCCATGGGGAAAAGACTCAGGGAGGGGAATAGGGCTCCCCTGCTGCTCCTCATTCCCTGGCATGTAATGTGAGACTGTTGGGCAGCAGATGTGGCTCTTCTGATCTGCTCTCCTGTCTGCTGAAAGTCTTCAGGCTACTTTAAATAAAGGATTTAAAAGCAGTCTCAGACTCTCCACCCTCCCTGCATCCCAGGCACAGCCTGCGCTTTCCAATCCGCTTGACCTCCATTCTGCTGTTGTCTGGAAGCCCCATGCAGAGATCAGGGAACAAGAAGAACATGGCTGAAATGCCATTTGAAATTGATCAGAGGCATGAAAGAAAAATGGGGCGCTAGCTAGGCTTAAACTCCAACCAGGAGAACTCACTGTCATCATCAGCATCTCCACTTTCATTAATCAGCAGAGATCACGATCCTGTCCATTTCCTGATGGACTGTGCAACTGCTGAGCACTGAGGCAGCCTCACATCAGTGAGCACAGATCCCTGGACTCTTCTGCCTCCCTGGGATTGTCTCAAGGTGCAAAAGGAGCACAGAGCTGCTGCAAGTTGGCCTTGTCCTTCGTGCAGGGGGCTCCAGCTCTGCCAGTGCTAAGTATCCAGGGGGGAATCCAAACAAGCCAGCTGGAGTCCCCCAAGTGGGATCTGAGCTAGGAAGGACATTCTTAGCAACAGACCTATTCCCAGGAATATTATTGGGAACATTCGCAAGTGCACAGGACCTTGACTTTATGGCTTATCCAAAAGTTGGTCCCTCCAACAATATGGCCTGGCCCAAGGCTAGGACAGTAGCTCTGTCCTGGCTCAGAGGGGAAGACAGGGCCACCTCCTGAATCACCAGCACTGCTGACTACAGCACCATCAGCTTCATTGGGGTTCCCAACCACAAGCTGAGCAGGCCTCACTTGCTTGAGCTCAGCAAGTCCCACAAGGTCACTGAACCCAGTTTCAGCTCTTTGAAGCCAGGAACACATCTTTCCTTTGAGGCGAGCTACTGAGATGCAAGAGAAGCTTCCAAAAGACTCCAACACAGATGCTACTGAACATCACCTTATCAGGCTGCCCTCAAGAGTTCCTGCAGACATACCCCACCCCCACACACATGCACCTGCAAACACACTACTTACAAAGACCAGTTTACTAGATTGCCAGCAACAAGCAGCACCATTCTGTCCTGGGGAGAAAGCAGAGTCATTATCATGCTTCCCCTTAGGCTGAAGAAATACCAGCACCTGCTGCTTGAGATACAAACATGATTCCATGGGGAAGGCTGTGAGGGTGTCTGTTCCAAGTCTAATGCTGACCTCCTTATGCCAACGCCCTCAGAAAGAACCCCACTAGCTTGGTCAGGAGTGTCACATGCTTAATTGCAGGCCAAGAAAGAACTGGGGTGAGGGCAGGGGAATGCAAAAAGGGTAGTGTAAGGGGAATTGAACAAGATGAGTTTGTGGAGGATGGTTGGACTTTTGGACATTTTTTTCCTTATTAATCCAATCCTCTCTCTAGCCGCTCCTCTGAGAAGCTGCCAGCCCTCCCTGTGGGAGCTCTGGGCAGCTTTGCCCATGTCCTAGCTGCCAAAGGAGTGACTGCCAGGGTGGGGGAGTGCCTACCATGTACATTGGCCGGCTGCACTGCTGGATACAGTCCGTGTAGAGTACCATTGCTGCACGGCGGAAAATCCCAAAATCTGCCAGAAAGAAGAGGACAGGAAAGCCAATGTCTCCAGAACAGTAAACCAGAAGGAGCTGGTAAGTGGGGGAACCCAACTGGAAGCACACATGGACTGGGGCACCTACCCCCAGCAGGTTTGTTTGGAAATCAACCACTCAGCTCAGGGATGCACAGGGTGGGAGGCAGCAAGAGCCCAAGGGGACCCTGGCATTCGGAGAGCTACCAGCTGCCTGACTTCACCACAGCAGGTAGGCACTGCTCCCCTCCCCCACCAATACTGCTGTGCTGGCACTACCCCAGCACACCCTGCAGGAGGCAGCTGGTGCCTGGCAAAAGGCAAGATGCCCTTCAATCAATACCAAAAGGAAATTCAACCCCAACCCCAAAAGAAAATGGCTGGAAGGTTTCGGAGAGGATGGAAGCTGCTCCTACTGCAGGGCAGCTCCTCCCTCAGCACCAGCACCAGGAGCCAGCAGTCTCTAATAGAAACATCTTCACACACACTGGCCAGCCCTTCAGAGGCAGGGGTGGGAGTGGCACAGAGCCCCTGCCTGCTGAGGTGGCCCACTTAGCATGTTTCCTGTGCAACATGCTACACCAGCACTTTCACTACTAGAGAACCCACAGGGCCAGAGTTTCTGGCCTGCAACACTGCTTGCTCAGTCCAGACAGGGAGGAAAGGGACTTCTGGTTACCTGTGTCAGAGACATCTGAGGCCAATGGAAGCAGAAGACAAAGAAGAAAGGTTTGTGAGTGGAGGACAACAGTCTTTGGGGACTGGCACTTCTAGCCTGGAAGGCAGATGGCTCCTGGAGCCCATGTAAGCACTGCTTGGCTAAGCTGCCCTCCCAAACCTAGCACAAGAATCATACCCTGGGGGGATGGCGACTCTGGGGCTGCATCCTCAGGAGCCTAGCATTTCCAGTGCTCAGGACAGGTCACTCTGCAAGCTCACAGGGAGCTGGGAGACCAAGGTGCATGCACTTGGCAGAACAGGAAGACCACACTGCAGGAGTACTGACAATGGACTTCCCGCTTGAACACAGACACAGGCAGAAAGACAGGGCTGTTGCCCATCCCCTTGACTTAGTCCAGGCAGGGGCACTCGTGGCAAAGAGCCCCTTCCCTCTCCAGTTTCTGTGCTCACCAATTTTGAAACGGCCCATGTAGTAGATCTGGGTGCTGAGGGCCAGTGAGGCGAAGACATGGATGACTGAGAAGATGGCCCAGAACCACATGTTGTTTTTGCCAAACACCTGAAAGCAGAAAAGGAAGGAGGAAGAGAAAACAGTGGGTTCCTGGCCCCACCATCGGTAACCTGGCCCCATCCCTAACCTGGCCCTACAGAAATGGCCAGGTTGGCCAAAGAGTAAGGAGGAGCCTGCCGACAACCACAGCCAAAGAGGTCACACCAGGGGGGCCTTGAAGAGGCTCTGCTCTCTGTGATATGGCACCTCCATGAAAAGGCTGGATTTTGCAGGGCACTGACCACCTGAGTCTCACCAGAGCTGCACCTCAGAAACCTGGGACACTTTTGAGATAAAAGCACTCAATCCTGCCAGAGCCCAAAGAAGGGAGCAGGGGGAAAGCTCCCATTGAGTGAAAGCTACGCTATATCCTGCAAGAGGGTGAATAATTGTCAGGTGTGGACACCCTGTGTGCTGCCAGATTCCAGCATTTACTCTTCCCGCACAGCCACCCAGGCAAAATTTCCCCCTGCACCGGAAGAAGTAGGATGCTTTGCATTTTCTGTTCAGTCTCCTTTAAATAAAGGTTGGAAATGACGTGCCAGAGCTGCATTAATCCACCATCAGTGTTTCAGGTTTGAACATGCCTTAGCAGCAGCAGGGTTCTGACCACATGCTTCCCACTGGGGTTCCTGTCCTTCCAGCAGCTTTTTCTACTCAGTCACATCACTGGGGCTGAAAGCACACAGCAGCCAACTCTATATGCATATGTGGGTACTGGAAAAAGTGTAAATTCTTTGTATTGTGCTCCACCTCAAAGCACCTCCTCCCCATGCAGTGCTCTGGGTTTCCACAGTAAAGCGCAATTATAGTACATCCATGCCCCAAAAAAGCCCAGAGTTACTGCAGCAATGAAAACAGAAATTGCACAGAGGTCTCCTGCTGCTCTGGTAATTGCACTGCCAGTTACTGTACCTATGCTCCCATCTCTTAGTGTGAGACTGTGGGCTGTGTTGCACATTGCGCAATCCAGGCAAAATGAGGTTAACAGTGCAACCGCTCTTCAGGGGCAGTATTGAACTGGGGCCACAGTCAATTTTGGTCTTGCTGGTATTCAATAACATGCTGCCATAGCCGGGAGCCTGCAGTCACCAGTGAAGCAGTGACCTGGGTTCACTGGGGGGATGAGGAAGGGGCTTTCTCCAAGTAGCTCCAAGCAAGGCCCTCCTGGCCCTGCTACCAAACACATGTTCCCAGAACATTTGGTAGCTGGTGGGGCCTAAGAGATGCAACAGCTCCATGGGCTGTCTGGCCAAATGGGTTTCTGGCATTTGTAGGCTTCTGCGGGCTATGGCTAGCTGTGAGGGAGGGGTCAGAGGCATGCACAAGGTATACCAGGGCCAGGCATAAGAACTCAGCCTGTACTGCAAAGGACACCTCTGCATGGTACCATGTGTCCTATGATCTGCACCCAGAAGGTACCTGATCAAATTCAGTGTCTGCTTCCAAGCAGTAATTATTCAGAGGACCAAAGGTTGTGATGAAATCTATGATGTTGGGTCAGGAATAAATAAAATACTAGTAAGGAGAAGAGTTCCCCTTCCCCCGCACCCCAATATCTCAGTCCAGGATTCCACACGTAGCTGTGACAGTGCTCTTCACTCCTGCCCTGCAGCACATCCTGTCAAGGCAAGAAGCCCCTCTGCTTTAAAATGAGACTGGGCCCCAATGCAGGGAGGCAGTGTGGAACAGGAAGCAGCGTACCACTCCAAGGACAGCCAGGCAGATGACCACAGCGAAGGAGGCGTAGGCTGAGTAGGCACTGGCGTTGATGTCTGGGTGCCGGGCCTGGTACAGCTTGAGCATACAGAGTCCTGCAATCATGTACATGAAGGAGGTGTCTGTAGAAGGAGCAGGAAAGGGAAATTGAGGACAGCTTCTCCTGGCTTCTGGCCCAGAGGATGGGGGGGTGCTGTTCAGGGTTGTCCCTAAATCAGGGGATGGGCTGTGAGGTAAGGCCCCCACTAACAGGCAGAGCTCTTTGAGCCACTCTGTGCTGCAGCTCTCTTTTGGCTTTCACTGCAAGATGCCCACAGCCTCCTGGGGTACCATGAAACTACAGCTAGCATCAATACTGGACAATGTGGCCCCTAAGAGTGCAAACACTGCACATTGTGTGGCAGCCTGCAGCACCCTTAGAGGAATCTCAAGGCACCCCAGGCTGGTGCTGCACCCTGATTGAGAAACTCTGGTGTAAACCCTTCCAGTCCTTCTTCACACACTGAACACCCAACACGATGCAGGTCAGGGTGAGGGGCATGACTTGGAGGCACACAAAATCCTGTTTCCCAGAGTGGCAGAACACTGCAAACCTTGCCTTCCCATGAGCAGAGAAGGGTGGGGCAGGTTTTGTCTGCTCCTCTGACCTGGGATCCTCTGCTTACCAAACTGGAAGTTGGAGTAGTTGGGGCAGACATGGTAGCAGGCACTGAGAACCCCCTCCATCATCAGGGCGATGCCCATGGCATAGAACAGGCCGAAGTGCTTGGGGATCCCATACTCCTGAAAGACAACAGAGCATGCTCAGTGCGACAGCACTGCTGATCTCCCAGGCAGGCCCGTAGGGGGCTCAAGCTGGTTGCCCAAACACACATGCACACGCGCGCGCACCCCCCTCCCCTGCTGCTGCAGTGTAGCCACTCTTACTGCCACACATGGCACAGGTCACTGCAGCCACACAGAGTTGAGGCAGGCAGGATGTAGCTGGCCACATGGGAGTTGGATGCCAGCAAGGCACAGCAGCAGTCTTCTGTGCCCAGGTTCAAACATGTAGGAGCAGAAGTGCCCCAGGTAACCAGGGCTTCCTCCTCGACCAGCCAATGGGGGTACACTGACCCAAAAAGGTTGAAAACCCCTGCTCTATATCTCCTATCCATGTACTGAACAGACCCAGTACAGATCTGTGATAGCTGATAAGGTCACAATGGGAAGGGCAGAGGCTCCTTGCACTAGGACTGGAATAAGCTCCTGTTCAGGCCACTAAGGCAGGGCCAGCCATGGCCCCTTGGAACCGAAGGGGCTGCTTTCCTCCTCTTTATAGATTACCATTAAAAGGCTCCCTCCACAGCTTTGGGCTCCTCTCCACAGGGCCCTCTGGAGGCTTCACATAGTAAGGCACACCAAGATGTACAGGAGACACTTGTCATCTGCAGAGGACCACCCAGAACCACCTCATCCATTGGGAGGGACACAGAGCAGGATTCTCCTTCACTCTGTGCTAGTGTTGCTGCTAATCCCCAAGTTCAGCTCTGGCTGACATGTGGCAATGGCCACATGACAGATCCAGCACCAGCTCCTTGCCAGAAGAATGTCTCCCCTCCCCCTCCAGCATCCCTGCAAACAAATCCTTCCCACCACCCTCCTCCTCATGGCATCCTGAAACGCTGTCCTGCCCTGCAGAGCATAGGCACCAGGGAGCCCCCCATTCAACTCTCTCCACTCAGGCTCTCCCCCTGTCCCAGCCATGCAATCCCTACCAATGTGCAGGCCTCCTTGGCTTCCGTGGTATGGCGGGGGGGAATGTTTCTGGGCAGGACAAACCACAGGG